TCCTGCTTCTCTCTTCTCCATTCTACTACGTTTGTCTCTCTGTCTTGATGAATCTAGTAAGTGGTAAGAGAATAAAGCTTCAGATTCCTACTTTTATCTGTGTCTGTGGGTACCTAGATGCTTGAATATCCACAAGGTAGAATGCACAGAGGCTATTCAGTACATTATTATTGACTTGTGTGTTACCTGATTCATCGTAGTATGAAATATAGAGAAGATAGTTCAGATCCTTAAGGGCTTCTGCTTATGAGGTGAGATGCAGAGCTAATGCCTTTGTTTTGGGGTGTTTGGGATTGTAAGTATATTTTCACTTCTAGCGTGATGGTCTCATGTGGCTAGTTTAGGGTTTTGGGTGGGATTGTGTTTTTCCCCAAGTCTTGTTTCTGGCCTCTGAGTTCCCACACGGATACTTTTACTAGGTGGAGAGATGAGCTTCTATCCATTCTGTGTGACTGCTGGGATGAAATTCTGGGTTGGCTTCATATTAGTCCCCATTGCTTATGAGGCATAGCTTATGAGGCATATTACAGCTGAGAAACCTGTTCATTTGCAGACCCCCCTTGGAGAGTGTTTGTACCAACAAGAGTCAAGGTATTTTCTACAATGTGACAAGAATAGAGAGGTATTTTCCTTAGTATGTAATTAACATTTATGCCTGACAGTGAGTTCAGGGAACTACATAAAAATGAAGAAGAATTGACTGTGTAAAAACAAACAGGAAGACCCTCTCAACTGCTCTGCGAAGATAGCATGGGGGGCGAGTTGACAGTAAAGATGGGGAGAATATGGGTCCAGGGATTGAGGTTGAGGCTGTGTCAGTTGCTGAGCAAGGGCAGGACTGTGCCTGCTTCTTTTCTGTGCTATGTAAACCTGAGGCATCAGAACTGCAGAGAAAGCAAAGACATCTGTGACCTGCCTGAGTATGTCATTGTCTTCTGTTTGAACCATCAGTTAATATAATCATCCTTAGCTATAACTGAGTTTTGGTGATGTGCCGTGATCCATAGAATAAGGCGTCCTCACCAATAAGGGCCTATAGTCTTAGGAAGTGGTCAGGCTTCTTTGGTGATTGAGCAATTTCCTCTTGGCATTTAAGATAGTGTTATTTTACATCAAAACAAAACCAAAGAGGTGAATTCTGGTTGTTGGCAGAGTAGCAATCTCCTTTCTATTGCATTCTGTTAATCTTGCCAAGAAAATTAATAGTAACATATCAACTTCTGTAGAATCCACAGATTTGTGCAGAATGCATTCTACAAGAGAAATCTGTTTAGGAATTCACTGTGACTCAAAATGGAAATTATGGGATACTCTCATGATTCCCTGAGATTCTTTTTCCTTGACTGAGTTAGGAGCAAAGTGCTTACTCACCACTTCATTCTTGGAGTAGAGGCAAACAGCAATTCCAGATAAATGTGTGGGATAAAGTGTGTGGGATATGGGTTGAAAGATAGAAAATATTACATATGATTATTGAAAGTGGTTTTGAGCAAGTAGTAAAGGCATCATTTGTTCATCCGTTCATTCCACATTTGTTTATTGGATGCTCACCAAGTGCCAGACCCCTGTTCTAGATGCTAGGAAGGAATTCACCCTTCCACGAGAGAGAGTCTGAGGTCAGACTTCCCTCTCAGGTGGCCATAATAGGGCCCAGAACAGGTCTGGCTCATCCTCTCTATATTATTATTTTTTTCACTCCCTGTCTCCAGGAGACAGTGCTGGCTTCCCTTTTTGTTTATAACCGTCAGGCATGAGTCATCCCTTCACTGTAAGTATTGCAGAATCGCATGTCACATTCCAGGCTAATTTGTTCTGCTGCCGGAGTCTCAGCCAGCAGCTCTTTTTGCCTGTCTTCTATCAGTCATGTTAGTGAGAACAGTGGGACCAACTGCACAAGTTAATTCACTGGGAAGTGGAGAAGAGAGTGCGTGGTACTTGTTTTCTATCCACTTTTGTTTAGTTCAAGATATATTTAGGAGTGGACACTTCTTTCTAGGTGCCAATATATCAGGCAATACCTACCATTAGAAAGCCATGAATCCATCTTTTAAAAAATGAATTTGCACCTATGAGCAAATAAAGTCAACTGTCTCTTGGAAAGGATATTGGTTCTGCAAATGGACTTGGCAGCTTTGGCTGATGGTTCTGTTGCACACACAAAATGGTCCTTTGAGAAAAACCTGGAAATTTATTTTAGAATTTTGAGAAAATCCGTCAAATAAACAAGCAAACAAAATTCTTCCTGAAAATTTTCTAAAGAATACTTTAGTTTGGTTTTGAATATTTAGGCTTTCTTCCCTTAATAGTCCTGTAATAAAGTCTGATTGATTTATCTCTTTAAAAATGTATATATTTAAGACAGGTTTGCAATTTTAAAATAAAAATTTTAAAAATCATTTTCACGTATAATTCTCGACCTTACTATAACTTTTTATTTCTTGGAATTCTCTTCTAGTCTTTATCTTATTATTATATGTAATTATAATGTTGACATTTAGGCAATCGTATGTTCTACTCTAAACCTTAAAAATTCTTACCCACTTTTTGAATATGCCTCATGAAGTGATTCATCCTCTAGAAGTGTGACTCACAGTAGTGAAAGTGGTTTGTTTTGAACAGCAGGATGAGTGTCAGACTAGTCTTCCAACCAGAAAACACTCTCTGCAGTTTGAGGCACAGATGAAAGAGCAGGTTTCGTCTTGGCCTAGGCTTGGAGGGAAAGTAGGTGGATTTATACAGTGTTTGCTCAGATTACAAATGGTGAGATGCTAAAAGCAGTTTTAGGTTTAGGGTTTTCAAAGTGGCCAGCCAAACGAAAGTTATGTGACCTACCTGAGAATGAAACTTACAGTTCTTTGTTGGGGAGGAAGGCGAGCCCTTGGTGTTTTGCTGGAAATGGGAGTGATCTCAGGTGCACATGCACAGAGTACAAGAAACAAGAGGCTGGCCCGTCTCAGTGCTTTCTTACCTGTCTAGAGAAGGAGAGCAAAAAAGAAAAGGTTCCAGGTTTTCATTTCTAAAAATCTTTCATCAGAAATACCCATTGCTCAAATAAGGTAAGGAATGAAAACAGGATATTAGTCTGAAAGAAAATAAACAAGTTGTATATCTTTTAGATTTCAAATAAAGTAAATTTGCAACATCTGATAACTTAAGGATGCAAACTTGAGCAGGTTTTGTTGAGTTCTTTGACAACTCAGTGAGATATCTAGAATTCTGTGGAGGGTGGATTTTGAGTTTGCAGATCCTGAAGACATTGGGAGTTGGTGTGTCTACTACGATGGTGACATGGGCGTGAGCCTCCAGGTCGACCGTTAGGTCTGGAGTGCCAGGCACAGTAGACCATTTCAGAGATTTAGAGGAGCAGCCATGCAGTGGGTGGAAATATATGCTCTTAAGTGCTTCAGGAGCCTCAGGAAAGAAGTAGAACACAAAGCAGAAACTACTGCTAGGAAAACAACTGTAGCAGGTTTGTTTCTAAACCACAGAACATTCTTGAAACTCACTTTAGGAACTTGAGTATATCAGTAATGATTGGGTTCAAGCGTATGTAACGGTCAGAAAAACAGGGGTCTTGCTTAATCACAGAAGTTAAATTTTTTTTCCTCATGTAAAACTAGCCTGAAGCTAGGCAGTTGAGGGCTGGTGTGGCAGCTCTGTGGTCATCAGGGACCCAAGCTCCCCGTTTCTTTTTGCTTCATCATCTGTAGTGCTGGCGTCCACCCTCAGGTTTGCCTTGGGGCTGCAGGATGTCCCCTGCTGCTCTAGCTGTCGCATCTGTGCTCCAGGAAAGAAGGCGAGGCCAAAGGGCGGACTTACTGGTAGATTGGTAGAGTCAGACCGCCTCCAAAGAGCTTTCCTGGAAGCCCCACCTTCTAATTGGCTACCCCTGCCTGTGAAGGACATTGCCTTCCCAATAATGCAGAGGCTAAATATTGCATAGGTCCTTCCTCTCTGCCATACCAAGTGATCATGAGAATAAAGGTATTACCAAGACTTAGGTGGCTAAGACTTGGGGATACCTGCAAACTCTTAGAATAGGACAGTAATAATGTGGACTTACTATGTGCTAGGCACTGGAGTTACAATAGTGAACAAGATGGACATGGTCCCTGCCCTCAAGGAGTTTACAGGCTAATGGGAAAAAATGGGTTTTAAATAAGTAAATTATAAACGTGTTGAATGTTAAGAAAAGGAGAAGTAGAGAGTGTTTGGCATTGTGTAATAGGAAAGACTCTCTAAGGTTATACCACAATATACACATCGAGATTTAAAGGATGCTTAGGAGGGGCCGGCCTGGTGGCGCAGCGGTTAAGTGCGCTCGCTCTGCTGCGGCAGCCCGAGGCTTTGCAGGTTCGGATCCCAGTGTGCACTGACGCACCGCTTGTCAAGCCATGCTGTGGTGGCGTCCCATATAAAGTAGAGGAAGATGGACATGGATGTTAGCCCAGGGCCAATCTTCCTCAGCAAAAAGAGGAGGATTGACATTGGATGTTAGCTCAGGGCTGATCTTCCTCACAAAAAAGAAAAAAAAAAGGATGCTTAGGAGTTAGTCAGGTTAGAAAGGTGGGGACGTGGGTGTAAGAGGAGTTCAAGACGGGGAGGAATGTTCCAAGCAGACTCCCTCCCAGTCTGATAATTTCCATGACAGTTCTTTCTTCTTCCATTGTTTGTCTTATTTCTTCGTCAGAGGGAATCAGTGGGAGTTTCTGAGCAACAGAGGAAGGCAGGGACTAAGTATTCTTTTTATCTGAAATGGCTAAAGGGACTGCCATCCTTTCTACTTATGTGTTTTTTCACTCTCTCTAGATGAGTGCCTGCCTGCATAGGCTGCACCAGGGAGTGTTGGTAACCGAGGAAGGAGGTGGGCAAATGATTGGGGCATACCGAAGTCCGGTTGCCCCATCATAGATCTGGCTTTTGGTCTCAGTGTGGGACTTCGGGGAGGCAAGGATTGGTTCTGACCCTGAAGTGCTGATATGACCCCCTTCACCTTCCAGGAAGTGGACATTGTGGTAGCACCGTGCCAAGGCCTCCGGCCTACAGTGGATGTTCTGGGTGACTTGGAGAATGATTTCTTGCCTGTGATAACCTATGCACTCCACGAAGATGAACTCTCTGAGAGGGATGAGCAAGAGCTTCAGGAAATCCGAAAGTATTTCTCTTTTCCCATATTCTTTTTCAAAATGCCAAAGCTGGGCTCAGAAATAATTGACTCCTCCAACAGAAGAATGGAGAATGAAAGATCACCACTTCATCGCCAGCTAACTGACCTGGGCTATCTGAACAGCAGTCACTGTAACTGTGGGGCTCCTGGCCAGGACACTAGAGCACAGAGCATGTTGGTGGAACAAAGTGAGAAGCTGAGACACTTGAGCATGTTTTCTCACCAGGTGCTCCAGACTCGCCTGGTGGACGCAGCCAAGGCCTTGAACTTGGTGCATTGCCGCTGCCTCGACATCTTTATTAACCAGGCCTTCGACATGCAGCGGGACCTGCAGATTACTCCCAAACGTCTGGAATATACGCGAAAAAAGGAGAATGAGTTGTATGAATCATTGATGAATATTGCCAACCGAAAGCAGGAGGAAATGAAGGACATGATTGTTGAGACGCTTAACACCATGAAGGAGGAACTTCTGGATGATGCTGCCAACATGGAGTTTAAAGGTAGGTCCTAGAGAGCTTGGTGGGGTGCCGGTGCTACAGGATCCTGACCCTTTTCCAGCTGGAAATTGAGTACATTAATTCTGAAGGCCAAAAGCAGGGTCAAGATAATCTCATCTACTCCAGTGTCATTAGCAGCAGCCCACCTTAAATCATTTAGCCAAAGTGGCCTCTCTTGTTCTCAGAGACTTTCCTGGAAGATTCCACTGTTATTGCTTCCCAGGACTGTTAGTCCAACTTTTGGTAAATTCATCCTGATAGCACGTTTTAATCTCCGGTTTATATCTGTATCCCTTGACCTTGGTGGAGCTGGACAAGAGCTGCTTGAAAAATGTTACTGAGTCATGCATTAGCGTTGGCTCCTTCAGTGTGGCCCATGCTTCTTTATTGGTTCTTTTTGTGTGTGTTCTGGTCTTTTTTCCTTTTGGGTTGTTCCTAAAACTCAGCTCAGGAGGATTTCCCAAGAGTAGTGTTTTTAGCTTTTCTGGTGGTCCCGTTCTTCATGAATGGCTATTAACAAAATTGGGCCAAAGTGATTAGTCGGGTCTTTTGGTGTCTGAGGTTTAGATGCTGCTGACTTTGTATCCTGACTGCTGTATAAACCTCCTTGCATGACAGTAGCTCTACTCCTATTAATTAAAGTGACATGGTTTGCAAGTTCCCTTTGAGGGTCTCAATCATGGCTTTCCATCCAAATCACCTGGGAGGCTTCTTGAAAAGAGATGCTCGAGACCACCAAAGACCACTTCAGACCCATTAATCAGAATTTCTGACATGAGACCTAGCAGCAGTTTTGTTTTGTGTTTTCCCAAAAACTACCTTGGTAGGTGGATTCTGCTTATTGCCATTTTCTGGGTGAGGGAACTAAGACTTAGACAGGTTAAGTCATTTGCTGGAGGTCACACAGCTACTAAATAGTAGAAGCAGACTTTGAATCTAGACAGTCTGCTTCCTGAGCCCATACTCTTTGTTTCCATGCTTTACTGCTTCTTAATCTGTTCCCAGTTAGTGGTGCCACCACCTTCCTGGTAACCAGCTTCAAAACCTCAGTATGGTCTTTAACTGTTTTCTTCCTCTTGTTTCCACATCCAGTCAGTTGCCAAGAAGAAGATGAGTCTTCTTCCATGTTTCATATCTAAACCTTTGCTCTTCTGTTCTCTCTTCTTTGGTCTAACTGCACTATTATTACCTAATTGATCTCGCTGGCGTCTCTCCTGCCTTTCCTCAGTTCATATTTATTGGCTCCTTGTTTCTATAGACTAAGTTTAGAATCCTTAGCCTTGTATTAAAGATTGTCCAAAGCCTAGCCCTTACCAACTTGCCCAGTCTTATTTCCCACTATGCACCTTCCTGTAATTTCTATTTCAGTTGGTCTTAACTGCTTGCTGTCCTCTATATGCTTCCTTTACTTTTTCTTTGCTCATGCCCTGCCCTAAACCTGAAATGTCTTTTATTTGTTTGTGAATTTCCAGATCCTACCTGCCCTTCAAGCCCTCTTCCAAATAACATTTTTCATGAAGTTATCTTTAATTTTCTTGGCTAATAATGATTGCATTTATCTGAACTCCCACAGCATTTCATCTGTACTGAAATTTCTGGCATATTTCACTTTTTATCTTTTGTTATAATTATTTATATTCTTCTGACTATTTTCTGAAATCCTAGAGTTGAAGAACAGGATCTGGGTCTTACTCATCATCATATCCCTTGCAGAAAATTTAAGAGAGTCTGTGTACACTACATTTTTGGAGAATGAATGAGTGTGTGAATGATGGTATATGACTGTGTCACAGTTACTGATACAAAGAAAATATAGTTGACTTTAGCAAGCACAGGATGCCTGATTTCTTATAGGTCTTTCCGAAGATGAAGCAAGATACCTCTTTGGTGAATTCCCACTGTAGGGAAGAGTTGCTGAGAAATGCTCACTTGCTATGGAAATCCTAGGAAAGTCTTCTCAATATTGAATTTAAGACACTGGAACATCAATGCTGGCATCATGGTGCACATGATAAAGGGGGGTCAGGGCAGGTAGGTTGGGCAGACAGTGAAATATTTGAGTGACTGTTATGTGCCAGATATACCATGTTTGGTGCCTGGGATACAGTGGTTACGTGTGAGTAACTGGGAACAAGGAGATCAAATGTCTGGCTTTGTTAACTACGTAGTGGATTAGTGGATCTACTTATCTGGTTGCCTGTATATTAGACAGGACTTACATGTCTGCTGCTTACCTTGTTCTAAGTCTTTTCTGGGTACCCTTGAGGCAATGACAAGTAGATTTAGAAGAGAGCTACCACGTATCCTGTGGAGCCAGATTTCTATTACTGGTTTTTATTTGTTTTAAAACAAAGGTAATGCATGCATGCTGGGTATCATGACATACATACTTTATAAAACACTTATTTTTTGAAAAGATAATACCTACATACATGGTACTTAACTCAGAGATATAAAGATACTGTCCCCCAGTCATCTAGTTTTTCTCCACGTGTTGTTCCGCCCTTGCTATTTCACTTAACTCATATCTTGGAGATCTTTCTGTAAATGTGCATATGGATGTACCTTAATTTATTTGACTTTTCTGCTGATGGACATTGAGGCTGTTTCTTTTTCTTTTTTTTCTTTTTGCTATTACAGACTGTACTGCGTTGATCATCATTGAACAAATATATCTTTAGGACTTGTAAGGGTATATTTCTAGAAAAATAATTGCTAGAAACACAGCAATAGTTAGGTCAAAGAGTATGTAGATTTTTTTGTTTGTTGGTTGGTTTAAAATTTTGATAGATATTGCCAGATTTCCTCCAAAGAAGTGGCACCAATTTAAATTTCTACCAGTAGACACGAGAGTGCCTTTTTAGGAGTAGAGTTTTTGCAAGTAATTTGTCTTCTCTTAAGTTCTTATGTCCTCTGGCTTGCAAAACAGATTTTCTAATGCTGAGAGGTAGTAGCATGGTGGGGACAACACTCCAGTTTTACTTTTTGTTTATCTAGTAGTTGATTAGAATGGAATTCCTGACTCTTGGATTTTTCTCATCAATATGCTAGGCAGTGTGAAATATTACAAAGATCAGAGGCTTTGGAATCCATGAGCTTTGGGTTCAAATACTAGCTGTACTTACTGCCTAACTGTCCCATCTCCTTCCCAATGCCCACTTTGTCCTCTCTTTGAGGCTGTTTCCTGACCTATAAAATATAACCAATAATACCTACCTGACAAAATTATTATGAGGACTAAATTAGATTACATATGTAAAATACTTATTATAGTGCCTTTCAAATAGTCTGCACTCAATAAATGTTGTTCCTCCCCTCCTATAAATGTGACATAAAAGCTGATAAAATCAATAGGCTCATTCTAGAGACAATTGCTGTTTCTTAGGATTTTTAGATGCCTTGAGTAGTGGAGGATTACAGTTATGCGCCGCATAACGATGTTTCGATCAATGGCAGACTGCACATACGACTGTGGTCCCATAAGATTAGTACCAAATAGCCTAGGTGTGTAGTAGGCTGTACCATCTAGGTTTGCGTGAGTGCACTCTATGATGTTCGAACAACAAGGATATCGCCTAACAATGCATTTCTTAGAACGTATCCTCGTCAAGCGACTGATACGCGGCCCTGATCACGCTGAGGGACAGTTCGTCAGCCAACCACGTGTTCTGTAGCTGTCCTCATGGTAGCTCCTTGGCTCATGACCTGGGAGATGCCTTTATTCAGTGTGCCTGCCCCTTTCCCTCACAGCCAGCTAGCTTCTCTCTCTGCCTCTGTAGACGTCATCATCCCTGAGAATGGAGAACCAGTGGGCACCAGAGAGATCAAGTGCTGCATCCGACAGATCCAGGAGCTCATCATCTCCCGGCTCAATCAGGCCGTGGCTAACAAGCTGATCAGCTCCGTGGATTACCTACGTGAGAGCTTCGTCGGAACCCTGGAACGGTGTCTGCAGAGCCTGGAGAAGTCTCAGGATGTCTCAGTTCACATCACCAGTAATTATCTCAAACAGGTACTCAAAGAATGGTGCAGACACCGTGTCACAGATAACACATGAAACACTCCACACACAAGCCCAGCTTCACATTAGCCAAGAATTTCCCTTTCAACTTTTTGCCAATCCAGTTTGAATTTTATTTTGTTTTCCTATCACATGACCACTGCCTGTGGGAGGTGCATGTGAGCTATAAAATGGCAGTTTAAGTCAATGAGCAAGAAGATGAAGATGAAGTAAAGGGGCCCCAGTAGTCACAAAATAGATGATCAGCTGTGTTGACTCTACACATATATTGAGGCATAAATTTGGGAACCTTGAGACTGGACTCTGTTCTTGAAGTCAGTATCATTTATTGCATTTTTAATAGCCACTCTACTCGGCATATTGATTTTTCGTGTGTGTTCTCTTTCAGATCTTAAATGCTGCCTATCATGTTGAAGTCACATTTCACTCAGGGTCCTCAGTCACAAGGATGCTGTGGGAGCAAATCAAACAGGTAGTGGTTGCTTAGAGGAACATTTTTCAGCCCCCAGTTGGCTCAAATGAATCTCAGTCACTCCAACAGAAAAACTGCCATCTAGGATCTTTTGTTACTGTAGGGTGGCACTTGTCCTGCTTTGCCTGCCTGGAAGAATTCTGATTTATGCCTAATCTGAAATAATTATTGACACTGCTCCCTTTAACTCTTAAAAGTGGCACATTTAAATGATATTTTATGGAGCCATAAGACTCTACTTCACTAGCTTATTCATATTTCTTTTTCCCAACCTAAAATGTTTTCTCTGAACCAGGCTTTGTTGCCAGAGGCCATGCGTGTGGTTTCTTTTCTGGAATTTGATCTGGCTTTTATGTAGAGTTATTTACTGACTTCAGAAAGGGATGTATCAGGCACCGCCTGGCACTGAGCATAATGTATTGAGGGTTTGTGAGCATGTAAACTAGGCCTAGTGTGCTTTGATGCTTTCCTTTGGGCTGAGCCCTGATTTTGAGGTAGATGGAATTGGAGAGGAGTCTTGGACTTCATACGGCCCCTATCTTAAGAGCCTGCCTCAAAGGAGTGGATAACCCAGAGAGGGAAGGGCATCAGTTCTTTCTAGTGGTTCCTGTCTCCCATGCTTCCCTGTTCTCGCTGTCCTCATCCTGGCAGATCATCCAGCGCATCACATGGGTGAGCCCACCTGTCATCACACTAGAGTGGAAGAGGAAGGTGGCGCAGGAGGCCATTGAGAGCCTCAGTGCCTCCAAGTTGGCCAAGAGCATCTGCAGCCAGTTCCGGACTCGGCTCAATAGTTCCCATGAGGCTTTTGCAGCCTCCTTGCGGCAGGTGGGTGTGTAGGAAAGGAGATATAGCTGGATTAAGCAGAGAAGAACCTCATCCGTTGGGGAATATTTTGCCCACTGCTTTCCATATAATTTTTAAAATCATCAATATATTTTCTTTCTGTTCTGTTAAAGGATGTTACAGAAAATTTCATCAATACATTTTTCATGGGGATATTTTTCTAACTCTAGGGAGAATGGAGGGACTCAGTTAATTTCTCCCCATTTCACTGAGTGAGGAATGAAAAGCAAGGGGTAGGAATTTTATATAAGTTTATATAGTATTTTAGGAATGAGTGACAGAAAGGGATGACTTTCCAACTTCTATACAAGTTCACAATTATATGACATCTGCTTGTCCCTTTGGTGGGGGGTGTGTGTGTGCATATGTGTACATGTGTAGAGGGGAGGGTGGGTAGATGTGATTATGCATCCAGGAGGAAAAATTATTGCTTATTGAGAGCCCACTATGTGCCAATCTCTGAGCTATGTTACATACATCATATTTAATTCTCACAGTTATCCTTATGAGGTACATATTATTATCCCTATACAATAGGTGAGGAGGCCAAAGCGAGGGACTTGATGAGTCATATGTCTTTTTTCTGTTTCCCTCCCAGCTGGAAGCTGGCCACTCAGGCCGGTTGGAGAAAACTGAAGATCTGTGGCTGAAGGTTCGGAAAGATCACGCCCCTCGCCTGGCCCGCCTTTCTCTGGAAAGCCGTTCTTTACAGGACGTCTTGCTGCATCGTGAGTCCTTGTTTTTTCCCCAAGTAAACTGGAGGAGGGTTCTGGACACTTGACATTCTCATGTCCAACCTTGGAGAATCCCAGTGTCTAAAGCTGCTTCCTCGCAAAGCTGCTGAAGTACCCACTGATGTGTTTTGAATTCCTGAGTTCTGTTTGGTCCTGCCATGAATTTATATAGTTTGCATAATATGACCAAAGTTTATTTAAATCAAACCAGTTAGGTTACTTTCTACTGGTTTAGAATAAAATCAGAATTTCTTCCCTCAGCATAATTACAACCTCCTGCTTCTAGGCAGGTCCACATCTAAGAATCTTAGGGAGGTTGCCCAGCAGGTTCCAGTCCCTCCTGCCTCATCTCTGTCTCTGTACCATATAGGTAAACCGAAACTGGGACAGGAGCTGGGCCGGGGCCAGTATGGTGTGGTCTACCTTTGTGACAACTGGGGGGGACACTTCCCTTGTGCCCTCAAGTCGGTTGTCCCCCCGGATGAGAAGCACTGGAATGACCTGGCTTTGGAGTTTCACTACATGAGGTATGTTCTGGTCTCATTCATTTCTGTGGGGAAAGATCCAGAGAAGAAACCAGAAGCCTGGTATAAATTTTGTATTGAGAGCTACAGCATGCCTTGTCTCTCCATTCCTACATCTTAAAATGTTGTAGACCGGTATTTCTGTGTCTGGCCCAGAAATGTGCTCTCTTCAAGGCCTTTACTGTCTTTGCTTGCCCTTTCCCCACGATCCTAAATTCTCAGACTCATCCTTCCATTTGACTTTCTTCCTTAGTCCTTAAGGCATAGCCATTTTTAGATTCCATAATTCTTTGACCTTGTTAGAGAGGCTGTTCTCTTTGCCCTCTCTCTGTACTGAGGGCCATTATCTCTGGACCTGGACTAAGTGTGGTCTCAAGGTTAGTCCTTCCCACATGGTGGCATGCTGTGCAGGATTAGAGCCCAGACCTCTCTCCTTCCCACCAGGTCTCTGCCAAAGCATGAGCGGCTGGTGGATCTCCATGGTTCAGTCATCGACTACAACTACGGTGGTGGCTCCAGCATTGCTGTGCTGCTCATTATGGAGCGGCTACATCGCGACCTCTACACTGGGCTGAAGGTGAGGCAAGGCAAGGAGAGAGCGAGAGCCAGCTGGCAGGCAGATCCACACGTTTCTTTCTGGCCTTTCATCCTTTCTTGTTTATTCAGAGTTTCTAGCTTTCATAAGACACTGTTGGAGTAATCAAGCTTTATTACCCTTATTTCCAACAAACCTTACAAATTTCTCAGAATCTATTTTTTTGCCCAGTTCATATCCAGAAAAGTACAGTTCACCACTTTTATCTCCTGTGGTAGTGGTAAGAATCTAGACTACTCAGAAGAGCAGAAAAGCTTCCTGTAACTCTGCTGTTATTTCTCTTTTTGGCTCTCAATGGAGAAAGCCAGTTTTTGTTGTTTAGTCAACAGATATTTATTAGTGACTACTTTGTACAAGGCCCTGGATTAAGCACCACAATAGGATGTCAAAAAGTATATTGCCAGGAACTTTTAAGAGAATTGTCGTCAGTGAATAATTCATGAAGATGTAGCATTTGAATTAGTAAGTACACCTTGATGGGTAAAATTTGGGCAGTTGGAAAGAAGAGGCCACACCAGGGGGAAGGAATAGCGTAATGCCCAGAGCATTGGAAGGCCGATAAAGACACTAGTCATATTGGAGCAGCTGGTTCATTTTGGGAATGGGGGGGAGATAATGTGCAAAGAAATATTGGGAACAAATCATAGAGGACTAAAAATGTTAAGAATTTCCATAGAATTCAAATTCTGTTATAGACAATGAGGAGCTGTTGAAAGATTTTATTTGAGTGAAGGCAAAATACCTTCACTTGGATGTTGAGTTTCTCTCATCTAGAACAACCACCAAAAGGGAGGTAGAGAGGTGTGTTTTGTCGGTTCCCTACATTGAAGCTGAGTAGAAGGGAGGAAAAGCTAACCCCAGAGTATCTGGGTAGGTCCCTTCTCACAGATTCCTCTTATACCATTTATATGAAAGCTTCCAGAAGAAGGACAGAGGAGTCCTTAGAAATGCTTGCAAGAGCCATGAGAAAGTAACATGATGAAGAAAATGACTCTCCAAGTGGCTTTCGCTCTTCATTTCAAAAGAGTGTGATACTTTTCCACAAGTGGCCTGGAGAACCATTTTGGATGAGTGATGTGATGTTCTTCAGAATTCAGGAGACCCTAAATTGGAGGTTTGGTAGAAGTTAGATGAGTAACTTTGGTATTCGAATCCTTAAAACCCAACCTGGGCTAACTAGGCCTACAAAGCAATGGAAGTAAGTCTACCTGAGGGACCTAGAAATACTTCCTCTGCACCCAGGGCAGTTCCACACTTCGTTCAGGGGTAGAAATGCGCTCATGCCTTCAGTCATTAGGTTGTGCCTCTCCTATTCACACTTGCGCATTGTCCAGCTGGCCCAAGTGCAGCCTCCGAGGGGTCTTATCTGGCCTTTATAGCTCGTCCCTCCTTGCTTGTTCTCTACTTCCCTCTCCTAACTGCTCTCCTCTCCCCTTTCTTGTCTACTTTTCTGTCCTTGTGTACCCTGGTGCAGTCGCTTTTTCAGTACCCTACATAAGGAACTCTGAGTTGGGTTAAGCAGGTTGGATTAAGGAGTTGTCTTGTTAGTGACAAGCAGGCTCTTTTGTCTCCCCAAGGCTGGGCTGACCCTGGAGACACGTTTGCAGATAGCGCTAGATGTGGTGGAAGGAATCCGCTTCCTGCACAGCCAGGGACTTGTTCACCGTGATATCAAACTGAAAAATGTGCTGGTAAGTAAGAGCTGTTTCCCCAAGATAGCACCCTGCCTCTGTGGGTTAAGTGATGTTTGGAGGGTACATGTAGATGTATGTTTGGTCGGAGGAAAAGACTGGAGGGAAAGTAGTACAGTTAACAGCAGAGTAGATGGATGGTATCTTGGACTTAAAGCTTAGGGAGGAATTGCATCATAAACCTAGCTAATACTGCTTAAGGTTTTTTCTCTTGATACCCTTGAATAAATATAAACTTACAAAAACGTTAACACTGTGGTACAATGAGGACCCATATGCCCTTCACCCAGATTCATTGTCTCTCTTTTCCTAATGTAGTCTTTCTGTATCTCTTTCTCTATCTGCACATGCGCGCACATGTGCGTGCACGCGCGCGCACACACTTTTTTACTGAACTATATGAGAGTAAGTTGCAGATAACACTTCATTCCTAAATACTTCAGCTTGTATCTCCCAAGAAAAAGGACATTCTTCTGCGTAATGAAAACGCCATTATCATTCCTAAGAAATTAAACATCGATATGATATGATTAGTTAATATACTGTCTATATTAACATTTTCCAGTTGTCCCAAATATGTCCAGTTATCCCAAATATGGTCTGTTGGTTTGTCTTGTTTGATCCAGTATCCATACAGTGCATTTTTTTGTCATGTTTCTTTAGCTTCCTTTAATCTAGAATAGTCTTTCTGCCTTTTTTTGCTTTTGTGACATTGATATTTTTGAGGATTCCGGGTCTTGTTATTGCTTAGGGTTTGATCAGAGATGCTGGATGAGGGCTGAGATGGGTAAATGTACCTTAAAAGACAAGATAGTCATGAACCCACTATAACCCTCCTGTTATCTAAATTATAATCTTTTGCCATACTCCTCTTGAAAATATATTGAATTATCATTGAGGTGTCTCTGGCAACATTTAAATGATGTATAAAGATGACAGAAGTTTGGGGGACAGGAAAGATATTCTTAAAATTATAGGCTGAAACCTGAGGCTTATCAATAGCCAAATGAGACATAGATTTATTCTCCAGAAACTTTAGGAAAGGAAACTACAGGGTATTCAAGAAACTCTCCTCAGTTGCCCAAGGGACCTTAACCTTCTTACTTAGCCACTTTCTGCCCTGAGGTCTGGAGGTCAGAAGAGAACGTCAGGAACTGAAATACTTTCCTCAGTGCCCTTCACTTATTCATTCTTCCAAGATTTGTTGAGCTCCTGATATGTGCCGGGCACTATGTCAGGGCTGGGAATACAGAGATGAAAAGACAGTCCTTGCTGCCAGGTTGCTTACAGTCTGGGAAGAAGACAGAAATGGGAATGAATCTGGAGACAGGGAGGCTGGAGGCAGGATTGATGAAGTGCTACTTTGGAGTAGATACCTACTTTTGAGCTGGGGTCTGCAACTAAATGCTCTGTGCAGGGTCAGGCACAGGGTGACTCTCGCCCTGCTTTGTTGGCAGTTGGACAAGCAGAACCGTGCCAAGATCACTGACTTAGGATTCTGCAAGCCAGAGGCCATGATGTCGGGCAGCATTGTGGGAACACCAATCCATATGGCCCCTGAACTTTTCACAGGTAAGCTGGAGGGCAGGGAGGGGTTTGGGCAGGCTCCACACTTTAACGCTGAGTACTGCCCCTTGGGCTGAGAGTAGTCACAGGTACTCCTAGCAGATCTGGCACAGGTGGGGGAGAAACCAGAACAGGAGAAACTGAGACAAGTAGAGGGAAAAGTGTAGAAGTGAAGGGGCAAGAAAGAAAAGTATAGACGGGAGTCACCAGCTGTTCTTTTGGATGTCTGTCCAGGCTGTTAGTGCCATAATTGCCATAATCAACCAATTATTAATCATCAAGTATTGATTGAATAACTCCTATGTCATAGGAATTGTCCCCTATCATTACAAAACTTAATAGTCGACAGTGCTTTAAGAGAGCTAAAATAATTAGGAAGCAGTATAAGACAGCGGTGATTAAGTGCTGCATAATGTAATGTTGGTGTTCAGAGAAGGGTAAATGAAGGTTGAAACGTTTGATAGTTTTGCGGTAGAGGTGAGATTTTGGGTAGAACTTGAGTCAAATCTGGAAAAATTGGTAGATGGGAAGGGAACTCATATTTTTTAAGTATATTGTTTGAGTTAGGCCATGTGGGTATGTTTTTTCATATATTTTGTTCCATTTAATCCTCACAACAATTCTGTGCTGATCTTGATTTTTATGTCCATGTCATAGATAATATTAAGTTGAGGCCAGATTGATGAAGAAACCCACCCCAAAACGTTGAGCTAGAAGTAATGGGGCTCGGATTAGAATCTAGATCTTTCTGCCTCTGGAGTCCAACCATGTATCCTGAAGGGGAGAAAATTCTGAAGGCCAGGGAAAGGGAAATATGAGGAAAATTTCAGGATAGAAATAAGCGTGACAGGAAGGGATTCCATTTGCAATAATAGCAAACAAGTTTGGAGGTAAAATACATTAAGCTTGAAATTCACACAGAGGAGTGACGGCTTGATTTGGAAGAAGTAAGGAGCTATATTGAGCTTTTGAGCAGGTGAGGGATGAAAGAATGTTTATGGAAGATCAGCTGAGCAGCAGTAGGTAGAGGGGATTTGAGTAGCAAGAACCAAGGTAGGGAGACCAGGGGTGGTTGGCTCCAGGATCAGGTTGGTAGTAGTACTGAAATGAAAAAAATGTGATAGATTTGAGATAATTCAGAGGAAGAATGGGCAAGATTTTGTTATTAACTTGATATGGATGATGAGCAGAAAAGAATGACTAAACGATAACTCTCAGATTTTGAGCCTGAGTGGATGAGGAATGGTGGTATCATTGCTGGCGAAGATGGAAAGGTAATTGCAAGTCATTTGTTAGTATTGGTGAGAGTTAAAATTAGTAGTATATTTGGATTTCTCTCATTAGCCTCATATACAAGTCTTCCCCCAATGCTTCACTGAGTAATACACATAAAGATTAGGAGTTAGCTGGTCAGCTATAGTCCTACTACATTGGAGTGAAGTACACAGTCTTCATTTTTCTTTTTCTAGATGTACTTTTTTTTCAGTTTCTATTCCCACTGCTATTATTTTATTTTGGCTACTTCATATTTAAATTCCTATAATTGTTTCTACTGCAGTCCATCCTATTGCTGTCAGAATAATCTTTCTAAAATATTTTCTTCAAGTCACCTCCTGCTCTAGAACATAACTAACTTCCTGCTGCCCGCTGAATCCAGACTCTTCTATCTGACTTTAAAAATCTTTTTTGGGGGGCTGGCCCAGTGGCATAGTGGTTAAGTTTGTGTGCTCTGCTTCAGCATCCTGGGGTTCACAGGTTCAGATCCTGGGTGTGGACCTACAGACTGCTCATCAAGCCATGCTGTGATGGCATCCCACATATAAAATACAGGAAGATGGGCACAGTTGTTAGCTCAGGGCCAATCTTCCTCACAAAAAAAAGATTAGGCCATGTGGGTATGTTTGCTCATATATTTTGAAAAAAATATAATTTTTAAATAATAAATGATTTTTTTGTGTGTGTGTGAGGAAGATTAGCCCTGAGCTAACATCTGTGCCCATCTTCCTCTATTTTGTATGTGGGATGCTGCCACAGCATGGCTTGATGAGCAATGTGTAGGTCCACGCCCGGGATCCGAACCTGTGAACCCTGGTCCTTTGAAGCAGAGTGCGCGAACTTAACCACTACGCCACCAGGCTGGCCTCCTAAAAATCTTTATATTGTGGTTCCAGCCTACCCACCCACCTGTATATCCGACTTGATTTCCCTAACATGACCTTTCAGGATTAATCTTTTTGACTGTCCCATTAAAATAAAAGTTCTACTTTTCTTCTTCTTTGTCAGGTTCTGGTCTTGGCTCTCTTAATATCTAGCTTTGAGCTCCCAGTGCCATAGTTTTTTGTATTATAATATGGGCATTATAAATATGTGCTGCCTAACAGGGTTGTTATGAGAGATGATGAATGTTAAAAGCTTTAGAAAAAAATGTGTGAAGGCCTCTGCAGATGCAAGTTAGTGGTGATGCTGTCGGTTCTCTCCCTGGCTCACTACCTGTCACCCTTCTTGCTGTAGGGAAGTATGATAATTCCGTGGATGTCTACGCTTTTGGCATTCTCTTCTGGTATATCTGCTCAGGCTCTGTCAAGCTCCCCGAGGCATTTGAGAGATGTGCCAGCAAAGACCATCTCTGGAACAACGTGCGGAGAGGTAAGGGCCACAAGTCCTTCTTGGTCCTAACTCCCCTCGCGAGAGCAGACTGAGACCCGGCACTGCAGCAGGGGCCTCCTGTCACCTTCTCCAGCCACTTCCCAGCTGGAGCACATACACATTTAAACCATCATGGACTCTGGAAAAGACATTTAAGTCAGACATTTGCTTCCAGGCAGCATTGTACTGAACTGTCTCAGAAAGGCTTTTTTCTTTAAAATTTCGAATTCTTCTACTTCCTATGCCAGTGTGTTCCATTTTTTCATCACTGTTACTATTAGGTTCTAACTAGATGTTTGCAGTTGAAGCCAAAGCTCATTGCATTCTTCAGCATCTGAGCCCCAACTGGGTAATCAGCCTTTGAGCTGATCATGCCTCCTTGTTGTGTTGGTCCCCCTCTCACTGCCTCTGTTCTTATTTCCATGCTTTTTTCCCTAGGGGCCCGCCCAGAACGCCTTCCTGTGTTTGATGAGGAGTGCTGGCAGTTGATGGAAGCCTGTTGGGATGGTGACCCTTCTCAGAGACCTCTCTTGGGCATTGTCCAGCCCATGCTCCAGGGCATCATGGACCGGCTATGCAAGTCAAATTCTGAGCGGCCAAACAGTGGACTAGATGATTCTACTTGAAAGCAAACACTTTTCTCTTTCACTCTCTCTTTCTTTACTTCCCTTCACCTTTGGCCATGGGAAGAATTTGACATTTGTTCATTACAGAGAGCACGCAAGGGAATTGATGCTTGCTGGGCAACTTGAGACTTTCCCAGGCAGAGATGACTCCTGGGTAGTGAAGAGTTGGATGGCTGTTCGAGCGTATTCAGCAGTTCACTGATGCCCCAAGCTATCCCTTTGGCAAAAGATTGTCTTGGACATGTGTAAAAGCTGAACAATGCAACATTCTGGCCTCAGAACTGAAAAGGAGGCAAATGTTACTGTTGTCTGTTCACTATATGTTACTAAGACAAGTGGGACACTGCAGTGGCAATAGTATTAAAAACTGTAATTTTCATAATTTTGGCTCAAGCTAGGAATAGTTTGATTGTATCCAGTCGTCAGGACCCTTAGAAAATTTGACCTTAGTTCTGGGATTGTGAGAACATGGGAACAAAAAACTAACTTGTGGATGCCTGGTTCCTGCTGTCTGCATCAGAGATCTCAGGGTGCAACAGCCAGAGGCCCCAGCAAGGGAGCTAGAAATGAAGTTATCTGTTCCTTATGGTGCCTGTGCATTTACATTTATAGGACCACAATCCCTGATTTCTGGGGGAGGGTTTCATGGTTACATCACCAAGAGGCCAAAGAAGAGAAAGAAAAAATCTGTGTGGGGAGTGTAAGTATATATATACACATTATTGGATTTCGAGTTACTGATAACCCCAGAACAGAATCTCTTTTTCTACCCTTGGGTCTTGATTTTTTTTTTTTTTTTTTCCTCTTTTGGTCTCAAGATGGGGAAGCTCCAGTTAACATGGTACTTAAGGCTGAGTGTCTGAGAAAAACTGACCCAATGTGAAATATTTGGTGAGACCTGAGAAGTGGGCAATGATCTGGAGG